CCACTCATATGCACATGGTTCCATTGACATCATATCCATGTCATCCATTCTAATCTCTTGTTTATGCTCATTTTTGGCTTTTTCATATGGATTTTTGATGTTAAGTTGTAGAGTTGCATTTTATATTCTGGATGTGAGTGCATGATTAGATATATAACTTGATAACATTTCCCCCATTGCACAGGTTGCCTTTTCTCTGGTTGATATTATTTCCATGAAAATATGATATTGAGTTTAAGGTAAGTCAAGTTGCCCCTACTCTTTTTTGTTTATTGTCTTTTATGTCATATTCTGTAAATTATTGATAAACCCAAAGCCATCAAGTTTTCTTCTGTGTTTCATTTTAGGGGTTTTATACTTCTAGTTGTATATCCAGGTCTTTAATCCATTCTGAGCTAATTTTTATATATGGTATATGATAGGGTTTTGTTTCATTCCTTGCATGTAGTTTCAGTGAACCCTTCACCATCTGTTGGTGATACTGCCCTTTCCACATCATGTGGTTAATAAATGCACAGAAATCTGACAAAATGTAACACACATCCCTGGGAAGAAAAACAAACACATTAAAGGCAGAAGGAAACTGCCCCATATAATAAAGGCCATGTACAAAGGCCCACAGGTAACATCATTTTCCATGGTGAAAATAATGGAAACTTTTTCTCTAAGATCAGGAGCAAGTCAAACATACCCACTGGCACCACTGGCATTCAGCACAGCACGGCATTCCTAGGAGGGGACTTTGGCAGAAAATTGAATAAAATGTACTCAAATCAGAAAAGAAGAAGTAAAATGATTACTGTTCCCACATGGCATGAACTCATAGTGGGATTCCATTTTATTTTAATAATTACATGAAGGTTTTCTTTTGGAGAATTGTTTATTATGTGTGTGGATTTCCTTTGCACTGTGGCATATGATCCTCCTGCATTTCTTGGACACAGCAGGAGCTAAAGTGCACATGTGAATGAACTGGGCATGAGTCCATGTGTATGTGTGTGTGTGCACATGTGGGGGATGCAAACTGCAGAGTGAAGCATTGTGCCTTATGTCTATCATCACTCCATGTTTGTGTAATATCAAATGATGCATTTGTGAAACATGATGTTACCTTTGATTAACTTTTTGCAATGAAAGCAATTTCCTCTTCATATAAATTCATTGTACAAGCAAATGTAGGACCATCTTACTCTTTCCAAGATTCTGAAACATGAGGTGAGCCCAGGATATAGGTGTTTGCCATTGGGCTGTTCTCTGAGAGGGCAGTGAGGTGTGTCCCATGGTTGAGGGTCATTCTCAGCCCATTTTTGGGCCTCCCTCAGTCTCCCCTCTGACCCCGAGGGCACCAGAATGTTCAGCAGTGTAATCACACTGCCACTCAGTCATGTTTTCCACAAAACTCACCATGAGAGGCCCCATATAAACCAGAAATGCAATCAAAGCACAACTGTGGTTTCAACACAAGGCTGCAAGATAAGGAATCGTCATATTTAATGCAAACAGTACAAGGGAAAAAACTAATTCCTACAAATAATGGAGTTCATGATGGCCACATTAGAGGTACAAACACAACACTGTAGTGATCTTTAAATGCCCAGTTTCTGCTCATTATTTCATGTTGTAATGGGACCATGTGGATCGAGGACTCTCAGGGACCAGAGAAAAGGGAAGTGTGAACAATGTTGTCATCTGTGCCCTGAGTGTGTCCCACCAGCTGCCTGGACATTGCCCTGTTAACTGGAGGTCACTGTGTCTCCTTGGATGACTGAGCATCATGCAAGGCCCATGTCCCTGGGAAATTAAAGTGGGCCTGCATCCAGGGCCAACACTGCTGGGAACACACACTTGCTCACACAGTGAGCAGAGATGATTTGTGCATTGACCCTCTCACACCTTCACAATCCTATCCTCACTGCCCCAATATCAGGGAAGCTGGAAGGGAGGGAAAGCACAACTTTGTTAAAAGATTGGATTTCATGTTATAAAGGTGTTACCTGATAAAAAAGCTTAAAGAGATTCCAAGATGGCTGCAGAGTAGTGTGAAGCTCTGTCCACTTCCCCCCAGCCCAGACAGAACTTGCAGCTAAACTGCAGAGCAATCAGCATGGACAACAAGTTGAAGTGCAGCTGCTCTGAAATTTAAAAGTAGGAGAGCAGAAGAAGATGGGAGGGAAAAAGGAGAGGGCAATACCCCCCCCCATGCAGATGCACTGGCTGAATACCCCAAGCGATACTGTGGAAGGGAGCTTGCTTGCCTGAGAGTCAGGGGTCTCAGACATGCAGGGGTCCCAAACCCACAGCAACAGAGATAAAGAAGGGAATCCACTTAACCTCTGGCTTTGGAACCTGTGGGGATTTGATCCACCTGGGAGACTGAGAGCACAGCATCCCAGGTAGGGAGCAATCCCGTTGTTATGAAACCAGGATCTGTGACTGCTGGAAGGGCCATGAGGCAGTTCCAGGTAAGAGAAGGTATCTGCTTGGTACACCCAGTAATGACTTTTGGGGTTCCTCTATTTTCTGGAAGAACTGTGCCAGAGAACCTCAGGTAGTCTAGACTGTGTGGTTTGAGGAATAGGACGTGTGCTGTGCACCTCCTCCTGGGAGGCGCCCTGTCCCCAGATGTTGGATTGCTAGGTCCATCCCAGTCTTGTGGTCTTTCAAGGTGAAGGGGTAAAGCTTGGGGTGATATTTAGACAAGCAATGCCTGTTAGATGGCAGGGAGGCAGTGTTTGACCTTTGGAGCCCTGGGGGATCTGGGGAGACTGTAGTGCCAAGTGGGACTCATTTTTTTTTTTGGTGGGGGGATCCCCTTTAGCAGGCAACAGAGACCTGGGATTTTCAGACCACGTATCCCAGGCGGGCTTCTGTCCTGGAGTCAGTTGGTCACTTTCTGGGCTCTGCAACTGCATTCTTGGAAAGCAGAGCCTGGGTCTCCAGCAAGTTCAGCTTCCTGCAGCCACTGGATGGAGAGAAAGTGCTGCTGCACTAGAGAACCACCCCCAAGACTGTTTGAACCACCTCTGTCCATACTGGATAACCCCAATGACCCCAGTTCTGAGGGGAAAGAGAGAGGTGCTCAGGGTGGGGACACTCAAAAGGCGAGACTGAGGCAGACCTAAACTTTGGGCTGGAGAGGCCCCATCAACTGCTCTACTAGAAACCCCACCCTGACAGCTTGCCCAGGGCCATGTGAGGACAGTGTCTGAAATTGGCTTGCAACAGAGAATCTCTACGGAGGCCCAGGACTGGACAAGTGGTCAAGTTTGGGCGACAGTGGAGCTAGATGCAGTGGACTACACAAACAGCTTACCCAGGGGGATCACAGTAGGCTCATCAGTCTGTGTGGAGGATCCATGCATGTGCCTTTATCCATCTTTTAGTATATCTTTATTTTTAATTTTGTCATTTATTTTTTTAATTTCCCTCTTTTTTTTCATATATCATGTTTTCTCTTTCCTTACTCTATTTTTCCACTTTTATTTTTTAAAATGTATTTTGTTGATGATGCTGTTACAGTCGTTCCACATTTTCATCCTTTGCCCTCATCTTCCTGGTACTCCCCTTCCCTCCAGCAAACCTTGCATCTTACTACATGCCCATCGTTCATGCATATAAGTGCTTTGGCTTGTTCAGCTCTTATTAGCATTTCCATTATTCTCGTTCTACCATTCATTTTTATTTTTCTATATGTATTATATTACTTTACTTTCCTTCCTTCTTCCCTTTCATATTTTCTTTCCATTTATTTTTTCTTCTCTAATTCTTTTTTCCTGCCTTTTATTGTTCTGCTTGTTTGTATTTTTGTCTTTCTTCTTGTCTTATTCTTTTATTGTTGTTGCATTTGCTATTGTTGTTAGAATTTTCTCTTTCATTGTCTTTGGTTTTGTTTTGTTGTGTTGTGTCAGCACCTGTACAACAGTTGTAGAAGACAGAGTGTCTGTACAGATTGTAGATTTTCACTTTGTTCTCCTTTGAGGACAAGGTTGCAGCTCCCAGAAGGTACAGAAAGGGGTCATTCTGGCTGGGGCTGAGTCTATTCCTCTTTCTAATTACCTTCAACAAGAGGGAAACAACTTGCATCATTCAAACACCTGATGGAGGCCAGGTGATCAAGTTCACAGCCCCTGTGTGCTCTGGGTCTGGATCTTCCCAAAAAATAGGCAGATAGAGCAAACTGCTCACCACAGAGACAGACAGTCGAAGGGTATCCAAAGAATCCGTGAGAGGAGACAATGTTGGAGGCCAAGTCTGACCACAGGGCCACCTGAAGCAGTGACAGCTACACCTGACCTTCTAACTTTCACATTGTAAAGTCCATTTATATCAGGGTTTGAGATTTTCTCAGGCACCTGATAACAGAGGGGGCAGGAGAGGGACAATGTGGGTCCACGATAGTGGTCCTGGGACCAACACAGACTTTAGCTTCAGTTCTCGGTGACAGTTGTAGGTGAACCTGGCTCACTTTACCTGATCTTGGGCCACATCACAGGTGATGCACAAGCTTCTCCACTTGTTGAGAACTGAGTCCACAGGTGTGTACTGCCCAGGAGGGTTGGTAACACTAGATACAGACACTCATCATGTTCTCATTACAGCAGGGAAGTGCTACAACCTCATGGGTGTTCCCCACTCTGCCCTGGATCAGGGTCAGGGGAGCAGTGGGGCCAGTGGTGAGGGCACAGACCCAGATGCTGGGCTCTTTGTCACCAGAGGTTGCCTCTTGGACAAGACCCAGCCTTGCTCAGGATTCTCTGTTTAGTTATTTAAATGCTATCATGACCACAGTTCATGGGACAGTAACTCCTTTAATGAGACACAGCCCTCTCTGAAGATCTCCAAACCCAGAGACCCCTATATAGCAACAGGACATGCAAAAGATGCCCTTCTGCTCATGAAAAGCAAACCAGCCCTGACCCTGCAGCTCTGGGACAAGAGCCCAGCCCAGGATTTTAAGGTGTTTCCACTCCCTGCTCAGGACAGAACACAGACCATTCACCATGGAGTTTGGGCTCAGCTGGGTTTTCCTTGTTGCTATTTTAAGAGGTAGTTTATGGAGAATGAGAGACACTGAGTATGTGAGTGGATATGACTGAGAGAAATATGGAATGTGTGATAGTTTCCTAACCTGACATCTTTGTATTTGCAGGTGTCCAGTGTGAGGTGCAGCTGGTGGAGTCTGGGGGAGGCCTAGTGAGGCCTGTGGGGTCTCTGAGACTCTCCTGTGCAGCCTCTGGGTTCACTGTCAGTAGCTATGATATGAACTGGGTCTGCCAGGCTACAGGGAAGGGACTGGGGTGGGTCTCACACATTAGTAGTGGTGGTAGCACATACTATGCCAACTCTGTGAAGGGTCGATTCACCATCTCCAGAGACAATGGCAAGAACGAGCTCTACCTGCAAATGAACAACCTGAGATCTGAGGACACAGCTGTGTATTACTGTGTGAGAGGCACAGTGAGGGGAAGTCAGTGTGAGCCCAGACACAAACCTCCCTGGGAGACAAGAGGATTAGGCTGCAGGGTATGCTCAGTACACCAGGGGGCACCCTGGGTACACTGAGCTCAGGGATTTGCCTGCGAGCAGCCTTGGCAACAATGTAATGGCTTGTTTCCAGGCAGGTGTGGCCCTTAACACTACACAGAGGTTTCCCTATGGGAGCCTCCCTCCCATCATACTTCTGCGCTAACCTCTTCAGCATCTAAGTTATAGAGGCTTGTTGTCACAGATGGAAAACATTCTCATATGTTCCAAACTCAGTGAGTCACCTGCCTTTGCTAACCCCCATTCTAATGAATCGCCAAACCTCTTGAACTACATCAGCTGAATCCAACCAGAGGCTTTGTGGGGCTCAAGAGCACAGGAACCCCACAAAGCTCAGAGTCCAACCTGGTCAGCAGATGGACACATGCATGCTGCACAGCAGGTAGCAGAGGCCTATGAACCCAACACCAAGGGAAAAAATATGTTGTGGGGACGTTCATTGACTTGACTCCATGTGCATGACACCAATAGCAGTTGACATCGTGTGGAGGTAAGGGGACCCCCACTATTCCTTGGTATGAATGTCTAGGCCATCTCCCACATAGAGGGAATTTGAAAACGTTTGTCACTTCACTGAGGAGTCTGCTGAAAGCAGGACAGACTTTTCAGCAAGTCAAGAATGACTGATTCATGTCAGGTAAGGAGTCTGGATCAGCATCTTATTGTTCAACCATGACAAGGTCAAAAACAGTCCTGCTCACAGGAGGGGTTTGTGTGGTTTCCATCTCCCACCTGCACCAAACTATGGAGAATCCCCACTTTCACTTCAATTCCCCATGTGTGCACAGGAGGAGAGAGAGGGGAGAACCTTAACATGCCAGCATCAAACATCAAACACTAGAGACTGGCTGCTTATTTCACTGAACTCCTAGGAAACATGAGTGATAACATAGAGCTACCTACCATTATGGGTAGAAAATTATTTCTGTCCCTACAAAATGAGGGTAATGGTTATACATTAGCAATAATTAAAATAATGATAAATAACATGACAACCTAGTTCAAATTCTAGCAAGGAACCTGCCCCTCTACAAGGTCATCAGCTTGTTCTGAGAGACGTGGGTCTACTTCCTGCTCCCAAAGGTTAGAACCTTCCACAGAATTATGGGCATCCTGTGTGGGGAGCTCTACTGATGTAGCTTTCCATCTGGGTGGAGTCATTATTTGATTCATTTATTGTTTCTATGAGTTTGTGCTTTTGTCATTCATAATCTCATGTATTAAAAACAGAGATCCATGGGTGGTATTAGGAGGTGGGGCCTTGGGACAAGTGCTGGTCCTAAGGTGGAGCTCTCCTGAACAGCATTAGGGCCTTTATAACAGAGGAGTCAGGAAGCTCCTTTGCCCCATCCACCCTCTGAGATCACAGTGAAAAAACAGCCAACTAGTAAGCAGGTTCTTACCAGACATCAGTTCTGCCAGCATCTGTTGTTTGATGCCCCACCTCCAGATCTGTGAGAAATACATGCCTTTCCTTAGCAATGAACCAATCCACAGTAGTTTGTTACAGTGCCCAGGGTGGGTTAGGATTGTAGTGTAACATGATCACAAAGGCTGACTCCCTGGAGATTTGCTGCCATGTTGTCTCTAAAAGGCAGAGCATGAGTGTCCTTCCAGTGATGTCCATGGGCATATTTTCTCTGGTGTTTTCTTCCACAGACAAATTTCTCTAGTGGAAGGTGATAGGAGACTCCTAAACACATGTAGCAGGAGGGCAGCAATAGAAGTGGATATAGTCTATGAACTATATCAGTATTTACCACATCACCATGGACCCAGGTCCAGGGTTCAATGGAGGTAAGGTGCAAAAATGCATAGTGCTCCCAGTCACCACATCACAGGACATGGCTGATGTTCTTGAAGGTGTGGAGATTAACAGCACTCAGGAGGAGCACTGGCCAAAGGGATTTGAGGGTTGATTTAGATTTTTTTTTAACTAATCATGTCATATTTTCAACCTTCCCAAAGGTTATATGTAATAATGACAGTGTGACATTTGGATAATAGTAACTCCTTCTTGAATAATCATTATTGTGCTGTGTGCACCTCAGTCACTTGATGTCACAGTCGGTAAGTCATTGGGGGAAGAGGGAAATGTGACTGTGCACAGAAGGTGTCCAGGGGAGTTAAAATGCATGACATGTGTTTATTGTTTCTCCCCACTCTCTTTCTTGATGCTGATGGACTATCTCAGTGCACAGACATATAATGGACAGAGATTCTGTCTTGACAGCACAAAGATCAGCTCTTTCAGTGACCACTGACCTAAGATCCAGAAGGTGAAGATGTAGGTGAACCTCTGTGTTCATCTGCATTTTCCCTTCAACTCTTCCAGGCCAGGCAGGTCCATGGTATTCATGCAAATGAAACAATATTAATTGAGCTACTGGGATGTCCAGCATATCTTTATTCTTGGGTGGGCCACCTATGCAAGCTGCAAGCTGCATGTCTATCTGCATATCTCATATTGTGGCCCCTGCTCCCAGTGTGGCACCCATGGTGGTACCTGCACTCTTCCCTGTCTCTCATCATCATTGTCCCCAACAGGGAGTCCCTACCTGTTTAAGTACTACAGGGGAACCAAGGTGATAAGATACCAGAACATTATATAACATGACTTAATTCTGTGCTTGTGAGCCCACTTCATGTGATGGGAACAGTTTATTAGACACAGTCTCAAGGCTATGAGAACATTAGGCATCAGGCCCCTCCAAGGCCATGGGAGCACTGCTTCCCTTAGCTACCCAGGCACCTGGGTGATGAAGCCAGACTGCCTCCACCTACCCTGTAACCTCTCTGTCTGTGTTGACTCATAGACAAGGTTACACAGGGAATTTATTCTGAGCCGAATAGCATGAAACAACATGCAAGTGGAATATTGCTGTAAATTAAATTGTGTAAAACTGCCAAATGGTAAAAATTAGCAAAAACAATAATAACTGTACAGCATGCAGACTAACCAGCCTCGTATAAAATTCCCACTATCACAATGGGGGTGCTTGTCCCTCTGATCCCAGTGGGGACCCTCATCCAGGTTCTTCACTTCTCTGTCCATAAGTGGAGAGGCATGTGCAAGTGGGGTGCTTCATGTGCTGACAAACCAACCCCCACAACTGTCCCTGCACCTCTGAGAGAGCAGCCCCAGGCCCCAGGTCTCTGCAGTTTGCATTCATTGTTGCAATTAGCACAGAGGAAACGCCATGAACTTTGGGCTGAGATGGGCACTTACTCTGATGCTTTTACATGTAGCATTAAGAAGAATCTGGGGATTTGAGTTTCTCTGTGTGTATGCCCCTCCTAATGAGAATATCCTGTCTGAAGATGTACAATATGAGTTGGAGCTTGGGACACCTGAGACAGCCTGGGGTTCTCTGAGACTCTGCTGTAAATGCTCTGGATTCAGTTTCAGAGACTATTATATAACCTGGATCAGTCAGCATCCAAGAAGGAGACTGGAGTGGATAAGTGTTGTTAAAAATAAAGCTAAACATCACACTACAGAATGAACTGCATCAATGAAAGACACTTTCACCATCTGAAGAGATGATTTGAAAAGCACTGCCTATCTGCAAATGAGAGTCAAGAGCACAGTTCTGCATTATAGCATGGGAGACACAGAGAGGGCACGCCAGTGTGAACCCTGACACAATCCTGTGGCAGGAGGGGCTTCAACCAACAGGGGGAGCCCAGGACCTATGAGTTCTGCAGGAGCAGGGCACTTTCAGTTTAATGAAGGCTTAGTTTCATCTCTGGCCCAGGACCTTCCTCTCTACGTGATATTCAACGTGTAGATACCCAAGAAAGCAACTTAGACTCACCACAATGAGTCTAAGTGGATGCTTCTCCTCTATCTAAATACACTAGCAGACACCTGTGATCTCTGACTTGGAAGTTTTCCCTTAAATAGTTTTGTTGTGACAGTTGGTTTTGGTTTTCGTTTGACTGGATCATAAGCTGCCCGAAGACTTGGCTGAAAGCCATTTCTTGGTTTGTACATAGTTTGCTTACAGGTGATCCAGGCCTGTGAACTGGTGTCTCAGAAAGGCTGATTTCACCAATATGGGTGGCCACCCTCCACTCCACTGAGGGACTGACTAGAGCAAATAGTAAATGAGAGAAAATTAACCCCTTCCCACCTGTGTCCTGAGACCTGGAGCTGGGGCAGAAGTCTTCTCATGTCCTGGCCACCCTGGTGCTCAGCATGCAGAGCAGGCTTAGTTCAGAAAGCAGCTCTCTTGTGTCTGCTGCCGCAACCCTAACTCATGGGACTTTTGGATGACTCAGAGTCATAATGAGATCATCATGTAAATGTAAATGAAAATGCACATATTGTGGGCCAGCTTCCTTGAAGAACCAGGGCCAATGGTTTCATAAAGCAGAGTGTGTACAAGTATTCCCATTAAAACACACAACTGTTAACTTGAATCAGTACAGGGAACATGGTGAACTAAGTGGAATAATGGGGAAGGTTGGAGCAAAGCCAGACAAACTTTGACAGAAGCAGCAGAGGAAACTGGCTCAAAGCTTTATTTTTCGATGTGGTGGGAGAGACAACTTCTGCTTAGAGTGGTGTGCATCATTTCAATCCCCCATTGATGTCTAAGGGGAGACCCCAGATTCTTGTCAGATTTCCCATGTTGGAGCAGATGGAGAAGAGGCAGGAAAGACTCATCAGTTGTCAGCAGTGAAACATGAAGGCAAGTAGAGTCTCACTACCTATTCCATCTAACAACTATAAAATACATGGACACACATGAGATAAGGTGTCATTATGTGTGGACAACCACTTCATGCATAGAAAATGAAATGCATGACTATTAGAAAGCAAGTGATGATGAAGGTGAAAAATATGATGATTATGATGGGATGAGACAGGGATATTGGTCCTTTGAAACTACAGCTCCTCTTCTAGACACACTGTGGCTCCTCCAGGCAGGGGTGCTCTCTCTTCCCTTTAAGTGTTTAGAGGTTTCATAAATGGAGCCCCAGTGAATCATGCAACTTGGGAGAGTCAGTGT